CAAGGTAATGCAACTACAACACAGTCGCCTCAGCAGACTGAGTGAAATGATGAAGATTCCCGGAAAGTGAACGGACAAGAGAGAGAGAGAGATAACTCACGTACCAACGGTTCTCGTGTAGGGAAAGTATGAAGCCTGAGGAGGGATACGGGCGCCGGCAGAAATCGGCAATTTCGGTTTCTGAAGATAATGGTTACAAATAAAAAGTGCGTGCGTGTGTGTCTGTGTGTATTTATGTTTATATGTGGATGTGTAGAATAAGAAAGCTACACACACATATATGTGAATGCCGTAACCCAGCGGGGAGAAGATGAAGGTTGGGGTGGAGAAAGAAGGCCAAAATTGGATGGCACTGACAACAAGAACGAAACAAGCATGTTTGAATGGCTCAGTAAATCAAGTTCAACGTAACAAACTGAACACCTCTTTATGAATGTGACATAAATATTCCATATATGATACCGAATTTCCACTGTATCGATCTTCCACAAGGAATCGTTTGAACGAAGCTTCCAACTGGTCACCGGGACGAATCACAAGTAACTAGTTCAGCCAATCAAAAGAAAAATTGAGGGGTGGAAAGGGTAGAGAAATCCTGGTGAGTAGAGGGATATGGAATAGCATAAACCCTAAACAAAAAAGCATAAATAGAAAGAACCGATACGTGTGTAAATGTGCCGGCTATACAATTACATAATGGGTTGGTAACATTGAGCACTGTCTCTGTTTGGGAACTATTTGGCTGCAAGCACTCCCATAAGACCGTGCAATCGATGTGGCATACACCCAGAAGTTTGCCGTTGTGTTTTCCAAGGTTTCATGCTCTTCCCCTCCCGTGGACTTCATCATTTCGAACTTTCAACCCGTCATGTTTTCGTGGATAATGCCAATCTTCGTTGCCTTTTACACTTCAACATCAATTACCGCGATCGATCAAAAATCAAACCAACAAAAAACGCCAATCTCGATTCAACCTGATAGACTATCTGCGTACTGATAATCCAACACCCGATACCAGGTTGTCACATCTCTCCTCGATACTACCATGATGGTTTCCTCAGCTTGCTTTTCATGCTCGCGCAAGATTGGTCTCACATTCCACGTTAGACGCTTCTTTACCCCAGCTCATCATTGGCAACTGAACAAGGATCAAACCCGCCGATCACTTCAATAGTGTAGTAACATGTGGACCAAGGCTTTGTCTTCTACTCTTCTTGATCTTATTCAACAGAATACCGTCCAGCTGATCGAAGATCCTTCCATAACCTCCAATTTGCAGCCTTTAGCCAATCGTCGGGCAGTTGCTTCACCTTTCCTATTCTACAGTTACTATTTTGGATTTTGTTCTTCAGAGCTTGCCTCGGCAATTCCCCCTTCTCAAAACGTTTGTCCGTCTATCAGGCATTTGGCAATCCTTGCAACCATTAAACACGCACTTTCGTGCGCCGCTTTTTGTTGGCTGGTTGGAGTGCTCAGAACAGTGTCAGTGAAAATGTAGAGCTCAGGAAGACAGAGGTTCCAGAGAAATCGGGATGCACGAACGTAACTGTTTGACACTCAGTGTTAAAGCACTCAGCTATTGAATAGAATGATCCCAAAGTCCCCATCAATGAAGCGTAAAGCAACCTACGCGCCAGGTCTTAACTTGACAGCCTTTGATCTTCCACCATCCACTACCTACCTCGACAAACAACGCCCATCGTGGCAATCTAGTTGGTGACATGCGCAACACAGGCCCCAAACAACATAGCCTGTGAAGGTTGTCTAGTTGTTTCAGTGGTCGACCGCGGAGACCTAAAATCCTGCGTCCAACTTCTGAATTGCTTGCCCGGTTTCCTCAGCACAATCGTGCAATGTTGTGTAGACAGCCGTGTTCAAACACTGACATCTTGTTTTAGTAGTGGGCAAGTTTCTGCACCGTTTAGAGATGGCCGAACTACCATAGCGTGCATTCGATCCTTCAAAGATTGTCAGATGACGCGACGGCACCACAGATGTCCTATATTGGCAAATGCTAATCGAGCTTTCTGTATATGTGCTGAAACATCTGTGATACGTTCGCCGGATGAGAGTTTGGACATGGGAGATCCACCGATTTGGTTGTATCACCAAATAAGCAATGCCGACACATATAGAATCAAGAACGAACCAATCTGATCCAGCTATTCCATACAAACGGATATCCCCAAAAGTTTCGTCCACTCATGCCTTAGGAGACAAAGAGAAAATGAAGGAGAAAGAGGAGAAAACGGAACTCTAACTACTACACATTCTTAGAATGACAGAAGACGTCGATCGTATGCTTCTTTCTTTGGGTCAGATCATTACCCCAAAACTTATAACAACACTACGATCAATTTATTCAACGACAAGGACCACATAAAACCAC